TATCGTGAAATTCATTCATCGTTAACATAAGGGAGATATCCTATACGGAAAGTATCTTGACAGGCTTCGTTGGATGATATTTTTTTTTCTTCTTCTTCTTCTTTCTCTTTCAAAAAGAGAAAAAGAGAGAGAAAGAAAGAATGCACAATACACGTAACCGCAGACCACCTTTTTATCGAGAGCTTTTCCTTTCTCAGCAGTATGAACAGAAACTGGTTCAATGTTCGATACGGTTTCGAACAAAGTATATAAGTAATATCTTTCTATATAAAAAGAAAGAAATAAAATATATATATATATGTAGATGGTCCAAAAACTGGTTCCCTTTTATTCGTATGTATACACCTCAAATATATAACTGTGTTAAACACTCCTGTATGTTTATATTTATATATTTAGGTATATGTGGGTCTAGGGTGGGTCAAAAAATCAATTATTCTTTTTTTTACAAGTGACACGGAAAAATGGGTTGCTAGACACCTTAGAAAAATTCTCACTAAATATGAGCTCTTAATTTTAATAGGAAGATCCTCCGCATCGCAGTTTTTTATTTTTTTCTCAGTCCAATACAATAAAATTTATACCTCATCATTATTTGATTGTAGAGAAAAATGTTTAAGACTAATTTGGTAGGAAATTTAATGTTCTACAAAAAAGGTATCTTATATTTTTTCCGTAAACCTCACCATTTGAATGATATTGAAGATTTAAGTTTGATTATTTTAAGACAAATTTCATTTTTATTTATGAATTTTATAACTCGACAATAAATGACTATTAAAAAATGCGCAATACAAATTTTTGTAGGAAATTAACTGCTCTATAAAAATGGTGTCTTATGTTTTGGCGATTAAATAAAGCGTTCAAAAGATATTCAGCATCAAACTTTCATGTGTACTGATTTTAAAAGTTTTTGATTAGATATTCGAAAAATTTCAATTTAATTTATAAGTTTTGAGAAAATTTACACAAATTTTAGTTTTTATCAACTAAGAAACTTCAAAATATTTTTCAAGTTTTTTTTTATGTGTAAGTATCTTTGTCTACATTAAAAAAAAGAAATTGTACATTATTTATCGCTTAGTTAATTATTTATTTTAAAAAAAGCAATGTTTTCATTATAAATATATTATATGTTTCAGTTTTAGAGAAAAAAAATGTCCAATTAGTTATAAAAAAGTTTTTTATTTCAATTTTTAACTGAGTTATTAATTTTCAAACAATTTTTTTTGCAAGTAGGGTAATTTTTTCGATGCTCTTTAACAAAAAAGTTTGATGATGAATATCTTTTGAATGCTTAATTTAATCGCCAAAACATAAGACACCATTTTTATAGAGCAGTTTATTTCCTACAAAAATTTGTATTGCGCATCTTATTATAGTCATTTATTGTCAAGTTATAAAATTCATAAACAAAAATGAAATTTGTCTAAAAATCATCAAATTTAAATCTTCAATATCATTTAAATGGTGAGGTTTACGGAAAAAATATAAGATACCTTTTTTGTAGAGCATTAAATTTCCTACAAAATTTGTCTAGAACATTTTTCTGTACAATCAATAAATAATGAGGTATGAATTTTATTGTATTGGACTGAGAAAAAAATAAAAAACTGCGATGCGGAGGATCTTTCTATTAAAATTAAGAGCTCATATTTAGTGAGGATTTTTTTAAGGTGTCTAGCAACCCATTTTTCCGTGTCACTTGTAAAAAAAAACATAATTGATTTTTTTTACCCACCCTAATGTAGACGCATATGTTTCGTGCTTCATATGTATAAAAATGTATTAATTCGTACGTGTGTTTAGTATGACGCTCCAAAATTTCACTTTCGATCGATATACACGTGTGTGTGTGTGTGTATGTATTATTGTTATAATAATATAATATAATGTGTATACACGTAAGAAAAATCGTATATAAGTGGAAACTCGAAATGCATCCAAAAAAGAAAAGTAGATTAAGAAAGGGCGGAAGGGGGAAGAGGGGATACAATAAAACGTGAGCAACAATTCAAGGACGAAGGATTTATTATTGGATTAGTTATCGCGTTGATTCGTATTCGACATTTTGACGTGAATAATTAGTCATGCATTATAATTTTAAAATGTTAATTAATTTGACGTATGCCTAATTAACGATCTTAGTCTCGAACTGTTTTGTTAATCGATAGAAATTTATAGTCATCCGCGAAAGTAGTAAGCCGAGTGAAAGCAAAGCCAATCATTATTCTTTTAGATTGCTAATTCATAAGTAAAAAGGTATAACCATTGTAAGTGAGGATGACTACACACAGGTTATAATAATTTACTATAACGAGATACGTTTGGGTGGACATTTGAAGGAACTTTTACATATATATATGTGTATATGTAAGCGTTTTGGTTTTTTGATACAGCCATTCTCTTTTTATGTATGTAAGTCTCTGTTAAAAATCGATACTTATCGAAAAATATGTTGAATAATAAAAAAAAAGAACAACGACCGAACGGTTTGTAAGAAAAGGATATTTTTAAATAGATTTACGTTGCGTATGTATTTGTGCGTACACACGTTGGTGTATTTTTTTTCTTCTTGTCATTTAAAAATATCGAAACTATCGTCAAATAATAAAACGTCAAATAATGATACGTTCGAAGAGTTGCCATTTTAACTTACATGTTGTGTGTAGATATATGTATAAAAAGCGAGTAAGTGTATTTGTTAGGTATAAGCACTCACTTTTTATTTCTTTTTTAGTTTCTCATGCTTGTTAAAAATCGAAATTGTCGCTAAATAATATAGCATATAATAAACGATAGGTTTTTACTCGTATATTATTATTTTTAACCAATAATTCGTTTATTATTCGTCTTAAAACAATTTACGAGTACGTTAATGATAATTCATTCTTTTCTTTTTTTTACAATAAAATATATAAATATATAAACTTAATATATATATATATATATATATATATATATATACATAAAAAAACAAAGATATATGCAAGTTTCCCTAGGAATATAATACATTATTTTATAAAAAGTATTATTAAATAAAACATTATTATAATATATATTATATATTATATATTATATCAAAACCTTAATATATTAAAATACATTACTTTATAAAAATTAATATTTAAACTTATAAAAATTCGATTTTCTTTCACAATTAAAAAAATATGATAACCTTCGTTAGAGGGTTTATAAAATAACAATATTTTCTTAAATAAGTAAAAAATCGGATGTATATCTCATACAAAAACCAATTATCCTATATATTGTCCATATAAGTATATATATGTATATAAAACTATCTAAATACCATGATATACTATATATAAAAGATTTTTGCCCGAAAGGCTCTGCTCTGTTGGGTGCGTTACGCAAGCAAAAACCGATCGTGGTTTAACAGTTTCGTTCTTGCATTCTCTCTTGGGAGGAGAATAAAAAATGAAAGAGAGTGAGAGAGAGAGAGGGAGAGAGAATGTCTATCTATCTCTTTTTGGATTGGTTAAAAGAGGGCAGGGGGGAAAGAATAAAAAAGAATATAACAGGACTGTTGGGGATAATAAGAAAAACCGTCGGAAGAAAAGAAAGAAAGTTAAACTTTGGTACGTGAAAGAGTGACGAAACTGTTCTCTGAAAGTATTTAGGGTTTAAATGTCCCACCATATTTCTTTTCTTTTTTTTTTTTTTTGGGAAAGAGGCATTTTGTTCCTTTTTTCATTAATTCGAATCATTACTACGTTGTCATCGTTTATCGTTGTCACTTTTGTTGTCTTGTGTTGTTGTTATGAGAAATTGTTGTTTGTCCGGGTTTCACTTCGTAGAAATTTTTGCAGTATCTCTCGTATACGTTCCAAACTTTTCTTCCGTATTTCTGGTATGTGAAAATTGAATCGTCTTTTTTGAACATTTATCATCGTTAAAGTTAATCCCCTTAATTGCATAGCTATTAACAATTATCGTTTATATACGTTTTAATTCATTGTATATGCTTGCAAATATGTAAGAAAAAATGTAAGTGGTTTATCGTTAATCATCGATTTATTTATAGTTTTTTAATCGAGATAAATTTTGAACCCCTTAAAATTGCTTTAGTTTCTCTTAATTTCTTATTGTAAATTCTACGAGGATAAAAAAAAATATAACCATTATACTTGGGATTCATTTTATACAGGGTTGAATTATTTGCTTTTTTATACTCTCAGGAATATAGATATTGCGTTGCAAAAGGGAAAAGAAAAAAGGAAAGGGACAGAAAAAGGTTTTTTCTTTCTTCTCAATCAATCTTAAATAATATCGTACAAAATTATAAATATCATTTATTCTTCTTACTGTAATTACAAATTTAACTTGTTGAAGAGATTTTTCCAAAATATCGTATTTTAAATGTTACAATCAAATAAACAAAAAACGAACTACATATACTTATATAGGATTGGTACAATTATATCATTTACATTACCAATAAAAAGTATTTTTATAATATATTCGTTAATAAATAAAATATGTATATATATAATTATTCTACAAAATTATATTATATTCTATATTATATTCTAAATTTATATTCTACATAATAAAAAAAAAAGAAAAGAAAAAAAATGAAACTTAAACCCACTTTTTTCTAAAAAGAATATTTCTGCTAAATTTCATATTATACACGTAATCGGACAAAAAAAGAAAGGATTATTTGAGACGCCCTATATAGAAAGGTAGATAGGTAGGTAGGTAGGTAGGTACTTGCAGGTATACACACCACACATTACTAAGAAAAGAAGGCCATGAAAAGTTTTCTCGACTATAAGACGTTTAAAAAGAGTCAGGTGCAACAGACATGAATTATATCAGATGATCTTTCTCATTTTTAGGATACCGAGAGAGAAAGAGAAAGAAAGCGAGGAGAGTGAGGTGGGGGAAAGGGAGATGTCGTTATGTCACGTTTAACTCTCGAATAAAAAAAATGAAAGAATAAAAAGAAATAATTGTTCATCTTTTTATCTTAGGGAACAGTATCTTTTCAACGTATTCGAGGTCATCGTATCAACCCTTGAATCGAAATTACAACGAATCGAGAATCTCGACAAGGCCGTTGAACATCTAATGAGGAGAGTTGAAGCATTGGATTCTAGAGTTAACGACAACATCGAAAAAACCGATGCAGTTATCGCTAAATTGAGAACGTTGGATTTGAAATTATTCAATGCACATCCACCAATAACTTCGCAGGAACAAATTCATCCTAGATCGGCTGAAAATGTCAGAGAGGAAAATGAAGCCGAAAGTGGTATGGATATTATTAATATTATTATATTATTACTATTATTAAGAATTAAATTCAATTATTAATCTCGTGAATATAAATCAACAATGTGATCACATTATAAATTATTAATTATTTATTAAAATTTTTAAAATATTATAACATTGATAAAAACGATTGGTAAAAATAATAAACAAACGTGAGATTTTTGGTAGTATCGAAAAAAACGCGAGAAAAAGGTGTTCCGTAAAGAATATAATTCGAATTCGTAAAAGGAAGAGTACAAAAAAAAAGAGATACGTTGATTTTAAGGATAAAAGTAAAAAAAAACGTTATTTGTATATTATTAAATAATTTATATATTTATTATATATCGCTTTTCTCTAGTAAATTAAAAATTGATCTATAATTAATACTTTGTTTGCTATCAAATTTATTTATTTCTTTTTTTATAAATTTATAACATCGTAGATATAAGCAAAAAAAAATATCCAAAATAAACGTTATTCAAATATAATTATAAAATATGTATAATTTTAATATTAACATAATTATTAAAATTTAAATAATGAATTTGTACTCTTTTAATTTAATTATTAAAATATTCTTTTTTTTTGTAAATTTTCATTTTAACAGTACCCATAATACGATTGATACATCACGACGACGAAAAATCACCTGAATCATTGGGTGATAAATTAATTTCATTGGATCAAAAGGTATCCGATATTGATCACAAATTGGTTAACCTGAAGAATCAATTGGACAATAATTTTTTACAAAATGACGATATCAATGCCGAAGCTAGCGAGAAAAAACCAGTTAGCATGAGCGTTGTAGAAATAACCAAAGCTATGAGCAACGAAGTTATGAATCATGTTTCTATCGAAATTGAAAATCTTAGACAAGCTACCGGTGCGTTAGATCGTAAACTACAATTTCACATTAATTTGGTATCGGACAATTTGGGTGCCATTTACAATCTGATGACCGACGTACACGATGCAGTTGTTGACAAAACTATCATCAATGATCCTAGAAATTTGACAACTACTACACAACCACCACCGAAACAAAGCAAATTCGATCGTTTGGTAGAAAAAATGCATCCTATGCTTACGGTTTCCGAAAAAATGGACGAAGTTTGGAACGTCGTGGTGAGTTTTTTTTGATAATTTATTTATTATTTTTTTCTCTTTTTTTCTTTTCTTTTTTTTGGTTTTAGTTTTCACTCCTTCAATTTATATCCGACGATATTGAAAAATAATTAGAAAAAAATTAAAATTCTATTAAATTTTTTTCCATATATCTGACACACATTATTATCAATGATTCTAATAACGTTCGAGATAATTATAAAAAATAAAAAAATAATAATTATAATAATGTAATGTAGCTTACACGCGCGATAGAAGTGAAACTCATATTATCGTGTGAAATAATATTCAATTGATTCATATATTATACAGCGAGTGTCCTTTAAAATCGTATAGCGTTACGTTTAATAGAATTCTTTTTTCTTGAAAACTATTTATAAAATGTATGCTTGAAATGAAGATAAATTTTGAAATAAATACATTAGTATACTTTAATTCAATATTTAATAAATTTAACTTGAAAGCTTCATTAATAACGAGTAAATTAAATACATACGAAAATAATGTACAGAAAAATCTGATTTTTCATATCCATTAATTGGTCATCCTTTATTTTTACTATTATTTTAAATGTTCTTTAATATCAGAATCAATTAAATACACATTAAAATAAGAATAATACGAAATACGTTTATTAATAAAAAAAAAATGAGACATATGTATCTATACTTGAAACAATACATAATTTCGATTTGATATTTTATTAATTGAAAATTTTCGATTAAAAATCATTGCTGGTCACAGGAACATTAAAACAAATTTATTTTAATCCAAACGATATTAAAATATTATAAAAATACAATAATATGTTTAATTTACCTTAATTAATTGTTAATTAATCAAAGAAAACGTATATCGTAAACCAAAAGCACATAGAATAAATTCGACGCACTTTTCACTTCGAAATCCACCTTCAGACTAGCACGTTGTTCTCTATGAAAATTCTTTTATTAAAATGTTTATGATTTTCCGAATAAGAAAATTCTATTTATTACCGATATTATTTTCGTTATATGCATGCGTAACCTTCGGAAAGTAATATAAATAACGTTAACAATAAAAGAATATTCATAGAGGACAATATATCAGTTTAGCGATGAATTTCGAAGAGGAAGGTACATCTTACTTGTACTTTAAGACTATTAAATATTTTAATACTATTATAAATTTTTTTAAATTAATTCATAATTATTTAATGTATATCGAACATTTTTAAATATGTCACATCCTTTCTACTAGTCTTTCCATAACAAATATCTCGCAATAATTATCAATTGATGTATCTCATACGTACACAGCACACACACACACACACACACACACACACACACACACACACTTCAGACTAATACTAAAATCTTCCATAATCTCGTTTAACTGTGTACTATTTCACTCTTTCACTTTTTTCTTTTTTTTCCCATGTCGTTTTAAAAAATTTTATTATCAACGTCGTTTGATAAATTTCACTTTAAAAACGGGATTGAAAAAGAAATGGTAAAATAAACCGTAAATTACAAGAAAAAAAACATTGACTGGAAAGAGACTTCATTAAGATTATTATGTTACTTGTTAATTAGAAACGTCTAATAAGAAAAGAAAACGTCCGATTAGAGTTTCTCGTAATTTTTCCTTTTCGACTTATTATCGCAGATGTTTAAAAGAACAAAATTAAAAGGAATGAAAAGAAAAAGGAAGAAATAAATAAATAAATAGATTCGTTCAGTTTTTAGAACGCGATAAATGTAGATAAACATATAAGTGTATACGGTTGGTAATTGATCGTGATGCTACCTTCCGATGTGGTTTTCCCAACGTGGAATCCAGTTTAGTAATCTCGTTTAGAATAAGTCGTGTGCCAAGCAACACGGTTAACAACGTTAAAGACCGTTAAAGGGTTCAAACAAGTCGAACTTAAACTTCCTATAGATCCCAATGACTTGACAGTGAAATCTAAAACCTCGTTCTCGATTTTTATCTCATTTACACGCATCGAAATCTCCCGAGAATTCCCACGAATTATTATCGAAACAAAAATTAATACAATAAATATTAGAAAAAAAAATAATAAAATGTTCCAAAAGTATAATAAATAATTAATGAGATGTTTCACAATTATTGTATTTTTTCTGAAATTCATGTTTGCTCTATGAATGATAAAAAAAAGAAAAAAATCTAAACCTTGTTCTCGATTCTCATTTCATTTATACGCATCGAAGACTCTCGAGAATGCCCACGAATTGTTATCAAAAACGAATTAATAGAATAATTTGTAGAGAAATTTATTTTAATTATTTATTTTAAATTAATTTATTAGAAAAATAATAATCATATTTTTCACAAACGTATACAAATATTAATGAAACGTTTCACAATTATTGTATTTTTTTTTTTCTAAAATAATTTGTTACTCTACGAATGATAGGAAATAAAAAGAAAACGTATATATTTTTGGAAATTGCCTATGATTAAAATAGGTCGGAACGAAAAATTCTGTGGACGATCTTCTACCAAAATCCGACGAATTGTTGACGCAAACGCAAAGACAGGAAAGAGCTATCAATGAAATTCATGCCGATCTTAGAACGAAGACCAATAAAATAATTGAAAATTTAGAAGGTGTTGAGAGTAGATTAAAGAAACAAGAAGATGACGTGGCAACTTTAGCTCAACGACAAATACCTGCTGAACTTTTATTGGATCCTACGATAGATCGATTAGTCGAATACGATCCAGGAAGGTTGGTTTAACGCATAAAATATTTAGAATTATGTAAAAAAATTTATTATAATATTTTATATTATTGTACGTGTATATATATATATATAAATTTTTTATTATATTATTATAATTAATAATATTATACGCAATATTATAAAATATTTTATATTTTATTATATTATATATATTATATAAATAATGTTATAAAATATGTTAAGACACTTAAAAAGCATTTTATTTTTTATTTTTAAAGATACGTTAACTTGCAAAGCGAAAATTTTGTTACGGAAACGTCTTCCTCAGCATCAATGAGTGCAACAACGATTCTACCACCATCAGTTCAAACATCAACATCAACATCATCGACTTATCTAACTTATACCACATCTTATTCATCGAATAATGGATCATCCGCAACTACCCCCATGACTCCAACATCTACCGGATCGCAAAGATCCACAACTAGAAATCGTGGTGTCATATTTCCTAGCGTTAAAAATAAACCAAGTCCTGCCAATACTACGTTCACAAGTGACATCCTAATCAATTACAAAGATATCAAGGTAATATTGATTACAATACAATGAACAATAATCATTACTAATAGATATAAATTTGTAAATATAATTTATACTTTTAGAACAAAAATTTGTTCCCCGAATTTAAATAAACAAAATTATTTGTAATTTAAAATTTATAATATAACTCATATTATATATTTTTGTTCTCTCTTGAAATAATCATTTATAAATAAAATTTAGAAAACTCGTATGAAAGTATGTCATTTGAAAATTGTTATAGAGTTTAAAAAAAAAAAGAACAAAAAATGCGAATAACGTTAGTTTTAATATTCTCTGATTACGAGCGTAAGAAAAAAAAAAAGGAAAGTATAAAATAGGAAGAATTGGCACACTTTCGATGTTATATTCCAGGGTTTCTCGTGCGTGGATTTGTTAAATGCAGGTATGAGAGACAGCGGCGTGTATTATCTTCAAATACGTGGTACTACCTATTGGTTCCTCAAGGTCTACTGCGAGCAGGAAATTGCCGATGGTGGTTGGACGGTAAGTTTTCATGCTCGAGAGAATCCCTCTTACCATTCTATTCCATCCTATCCAATTCTATCGTAACACACGTAATAGCGCATCACCGATCATCGAGCTCTCTTTCCTACGTCGAAAAGGAAGACGTTTATTTTTTTTTTCTTTTCCTCAAACAATAACTATTCCTTACAGTTTGGATAACTGGCACGTTATTTCACAGCAATTTGAATAAAAGCACCACCTTTCTCTTCCTTTTTTTTCCTTTCTCTTATATTTCTCTCATCTATCGTTTAATCTATATTTATTATCTAGGAATACAGGATGTTTCCCGTATTATATCATACGTTTATTATCTCATATATATAATATACATGTACATAACATGTCAAATATTTAGGTTAACCCTTTGAATGCTAAATACTTTTTAGTTTAAATGTTTTGTAAGGTACGAAAAGTTTATTATTATTGATATTATTTTAACCAAATTTCTATAATAATAAATTATATTTAATAATTAAAGTTTTTTCTTCTTTTTTTATGTAATTTTAATAATCAATAGACAAAACAATATTACATTATTTGCATTTATATTGACAAACGCGTAATATAGTTTACACGCTGGAAACTTTTATCAAACGCGTATATGCGTTTATAGCAATCAAAGAATTAAAATTATTAAAAATCTTCAAACCAATTTCGATATGAGTTTGTTTTGTTTTGTTTCTTCGACGTGTTACAAAGTTTTTTCTTTATGAAAAATTATTATAACGATGAAAATTCATGATTCAATTTAATAGTATAATTATTAATATCATATTGTGGCAGGAATAATAAAATTAAAAAAATTATTATTTTATTTTTTCTCTAAAATAATAATCTTCGTTGATAAATTTCAAATTACGTTTTACACGGTATTGAATAAATTATATTATTTTACATAAAACAGAAAAGTACTTTTTTACTGCGCACTTTATTAACTTCGTTTCTCTTATAAGAAACAAAATCTAATTTTTCTTCGTCATTTTTTTTATCGTTTAATTAGGTGATACAAAGAAGGGACGATTTTGGCGAACCTAGGGAAAACTTTAACAGAGATTGGGCAGATTACAAGAACGGTTTTGGTAATCCAGCAAGAGAATTTTGGTTGGGTAACGAAAATATCTACATGCTGACGAATAATGAGGATTACATGCTCCGTGTCGAATTAGAAGATTTCGAAGGTAACAAAAGGTATGCAAGTGATTAGAATTTTTGATTTCGTTGACTTTTTTTTCTTTTTTTTTCATCCATTAAAATTATTAAAACATCTTCATATCTGATCTTTAATCGTATTATTATATGATTATTTATATATTTATATAATAATTTTTATAATAAATATATTTATAATATATAATTATAATTTATATATATATTTATAATATACTAGCTGTGCCCCACCACGCGTTACTGTGGCTCATGTGAGCCAAAATATGACGTTGGATAGATAAAAATTAGGTTATGTTCAAATGTTTCGCACAATCACTGAAATCTATGGCCAACAGATAGCGCTGAACTTACCTGTATCTTTTTCTTTTTTTTGTAATTAATTATTTATTTTATAAATAAATTAATGTAATTAAAACCTAGCTATATGCGAATGCAATGTTGTGTCAAAATTTCAAATCGATCAGTAAAGTACTTTCGGAGATTTGCGATTAGGCATAAACTAAATCTACATTTTTATATATATAGATATAAAAAATACATTTATAATATATTAATAATAATAATCATATGAATAATTTATAGATACGCACAGTATACGCATTTTAAAATATATTCCGAGGGTGAATATTACAAGTTAGAAATTGATGGTTACGAAGGTACAGCTGGTGATTCTTTGAACGATCCTTGGTACGGATCGAACAATAGTCCATTCTCAACTTATAACAGGTAATAACGATGATCTTATAATTTTAACCCTTAAAGGTAGAAAGGGTTTCGCTGATTAGTAAAACTTATATCATAATTGTTCCAATAATTTTTTTTAGTTATACTTAAATTACTGATTGTATTATTTTTGATATCATAATTTCCATAGAGCAATAATAATACGTAAGAAAAATCAGTATTAAATTTTTTGTAAGTCTCTGTAATGAAGCCCTTCCGATCGTTAAGGATCCGATATATATTTTAATATCTGATAAAAAAATTAAAAAAATTATATTATCAAGGCGAACCAAAAAAGTTCTTTCATTTTTAATTAATATTTATTTTCTTTTTATTATTTCTTTTATTTTCTTTTTTTATTTTTACTCCAAAGAGTTACCAAAAACAAAATAATCCATTATGCAGTTAATAACACAATTTATAAGAAAATAATTCCACGAATTTTTAATTAAACCTAAAAATTGTATTAAATGTATCATTTTTTGACGTTTGGTATGAAAAATAAATGTTTACAGAGATAACGACAGATCTTCGTTGAATTGTGCATCGATGCTAAAGGGTGGTTGGTGGTGGAAATCTTGTGGACGTGGATTGAATGGTCTTTATTTAAATGATCCTCAAGATTTATCAGCTCGACAAGGTATTATGAAATTACGATTAATATTTTCAATTTTAATTATAAATTATAAAAAGGATTATTCGTATAGATTTTTATTAACACACTAAATTTACGGATATTTTGTTCGCTACTTTTTGAATAATTTCTAAACATTATTTAAATGAAAGGGTTAAGTAAAAATGGTTGAGAAATTAATATTTATGTATATATTTTATTACATAACTAAAATCCAAGATATGTTTTTAAAAAAATAATATTTTACCCTTATCGGTCATCAGGTTTTTATATCGATAATTTTCACTAATTGTAAGGTATAAGTGGTTTCGATAAATATACAACACAATTATTCAATATTATAATAATAATTTATAATTTATTATTTATTTTTTTTTTTTTTTGAAAGAGTACTACAAATATAAATATATTATTTAATTATTAATAACATATTTTTATTTGTAAATTCACTTCCCACGTGACTTACGACCGATAAAGGTTAAGTTTCATATAAATATATAATAATCAAATTTTTATAATGAGTCAAATTGGTTCAGTCCGTAAATCTAGTGTTAAATCTCTGCTTTTTTTTTAAATTTTATTTTTAATTTTATTTGTCAAGGAATCGTATGGTTCCGTTGGAGAGGCTGGGATTACACGCTGAAAAGGGCGACCATGATGATCAAACCTAAAGGACCAACGGCGTTTACTTAAAAAACGAAGATTTTTTTCCTATTTTTTTTCCTATTTTATGTTTTTTTTTTCTTTACCTCCCACCCCCTTCCCGACAAGACGTAGTATACGACGTGGAACGCGTAGACTAAAAAGAAGAAAAAAAAAATAAAGAAAAAAAATGTAAACGACGGAAGAAATTATTTAATACAATACGCGCACACACATACGCACGATTTTAAATTGATGAATTACTTTTAAATTGTTCGAAATATTTCAAAAACAATCTGTTGTTGTTTTATCCATCGTTTTCGCGAGGCCACCGATTTTCTTTTTTTTCTCATTCGAATTGAAGTAGAGGAGAAAAAGGAAAGAAGAAGAAAAAAAAGAATAAAATAATTAATTCACATCGTGTGTCGTTATAATATCTATGTCGTTGAAACTAAACAACAATATCCGACCCGTTTAGTATAGAATTTATAAATTATTATACACATGACGTATTACGTTTTATTGTCTTCTTTTTCATCTTCTTCTTCTTTTTTTTCTATTTTATTTTACTTTTTATTCGAGGAAGAAACGTAGATATTTTATTTATTTTGAAAATATATATGTTACATCCAACACGTATCGAAACAGAATAAAAAGAAGAAGAAAAATAGAAAAAATATAAAAACAACAAAAAAACAATTATTTCTATTTCTACATGAACAAATGTAAATAATATACGATCGGCTAAAATAAATTAAAAAAAAAATCAGAGAAAAAAAAATAAAAAATAAAAAAAGGAACATAAAAATAACAAAAGAAATAAATTTAAAAAAGGTAAAAATTTGTGATTTGATCACAAAATAAATGTATATATAAATAACAATAATAATATTTATGATTCGTCATCGAGACCGTATTAATTTTGTTTTTTTTATTTTTTATTTTTTTTTAAATTAGAAAACAAAATAATCGCAAAAAAAAGTGTGCGTTTAAATGCATGCATACATACACACGTACACATACACATATCACATAGAAAAACATTTTTCACGTAAAAGTTTGTGTTTTCAAATGGACGCGAATGTTGAGTAAAAATACGTATCTGACATTAAAAAAAAAAAAGAAAAAGAAAAAATACAGAGCTATTTCTTTTGTTTTTCCTTTTTTTTTTACGTCCCTTTGAAACCACGACAAATGTATTACGAACTGCGTCGTTATACTAATATCAGTTCTAATTAATTTATATATCTATTATATAATATAACTATATCGCGTCTTAGAAATCGAATTTTAATAGAAAATACTCACGTTAATTTAATTAACAATGAATGAATTTATTATATTAATTACGAAAACGTGTTAAGAAAAGATTTTACAACTGTTGGCAAAAATTGTGTCATTGCGAAGGAAATGAAGGAAATTCAAAAAGTGATAATAATGTGCAACAAAAATATGGACAAAAAATAAATTCTTTATATAAAAACAAAAAAAAATATATAAGCGAATCAACGGATTGTAAATAATGGACTTTAAAGGCTCGTAAAGATATCGTAATTAAGTTGTAAAAAAAAATGAGCTTTAGAAATAAAGATATATCTTTTGTAAATTACGAGTAAAAAGAAAATGAAAACACCTATTGTCGTATAAATATTTATTTGTTCGTTAAATTCTAATTTTATTCAAACCTTCCAATTTATTTTACGATCTTTTCCCGATAATAAACCAACGAAAATCTATAATATCATAATTAAACGAATGAAATTATTGTCTCGTTAAAAAAAAATTCAATTCAAAATGTTACGAGATACAAATTGCTGACAAAATGGCAGTAATAATTTTCAGTCAATAATCGTCTTGGAAATTTCAAAAGTATTGATGGATTAAACTTTCGTATATTTTTCTATTAATATTATTATTATTAGTATTAATTGGCATTAGGAACTCGAAAGTTCATTGCCGCAAATACTAAATCCCACCAGCGTTCTTGACCCAGAGCTTGATTCCTCCATTCGCAATCTTCGTAGCCTATTTCTTTAAGATCCCGAAATAATATTGTCCTCCCATCTACGTCTCGGTCTACCCAGTGGTCTTTTCCCGTTCGGTATACCGACCAGTATTTTATGCACCGTTCGATCCTCCCCCATGCGCGCCACGTGACACCTGCCCATCTTAATCGGCGTGATTTTACGACGTTGATAACGTCCGGTTTGTTGTACAATCGATGTACTTCAACGTTATGGAGTTTTCTCCATTCGCCCGTTTCCTCAACGCGTTTTGCACCGAAAATTTTACGAAGAACTTTGTTTTCAAAAACTCTAAATTTCTTTTCGTCCCGTAAAGTAACCACGTGACCACGATTCGCTACCATAAAGGACTACCGGCAGGATGATTGTCCTGTATATCCTGATTTTTAATCGCCTAGACATCCTTCGCGAGCTGACTAATTTGTTAACCGAATAAAAACATGAATTGCCTAAATTGATTTTTTTATTAAGTTCTTCGTTAATTTCCTTCGTCTGGTTTCTGATCGATCCTAAATATACCTAAAGTTGCTGACCCGTTCGAAAATTTTATCCCGGGCGACCAAAGTTCCAGTACTAGGCATATTCTGAACTCTATCGGTTACCATATATTTAGTTTTCTCCGCGCTTATTTGCAGTCCCAGATCTTTAATATTATCTATTAATATTTTCGCGTTATTAATTAATGACTCTTCATTGTCCCCTAATAAAGCAATATTGTCTGCGTATGTCAACAATTGTGTTGTCCCGTTCAACTGTAGACCATCTTTACTTTTCTGCAGTTCTTTGACAGCGAATTCCAGTACTAAATTGAACAAAATAGGTGACAATTCGTCCCCCTGTTTTAACCCGCTATGGATACTAAAATCTTCCGACATTTGGTTACCTATCCTCACTTTACCCCTAGTTTCCTTTAGGCAAAGTTGAACCAGGTTGACCAATTTTCTTGGTATCCCCTGTCGTATTAGGATTTAGAGCATTTTTTCTCGTTTTACCAAGTCGTACGCTTTTTGAAAATCTATATAAAGTTGATGTACCAGCTGATTAAATTCCCATTTTTTCTCTAAGATCTGACGAATAGCAAAGATTTGGTCTGTAGCCGATCTATTTCTCCTAAAATCGCACTGGTGATCTCCTATTATCTCGTCCGCATACGGTACTATCCCAGCTAGTAAGATATTTGATATCATTTTTAATTGTATACGGGCAAGCTTGCCTACGAGCAAGATACGATAATGTTACACACGCCTGAATTACATTCAATCCCATCTACGAGAATAACTGCTTGGCTTGTAATAATGTAAACTATATTATCATCATCAAAAGAGACTTATCGAAAAGGAAAGTAATAAACTGCGAAAAGTCGTTTTGACCTTGACTCTGCAATTTTACCAATTTTCGGATCGAACGTCTTTAAATTATAAAGTAAAATATTATATTATATAAATATATATGTGGGACGAGCGCCTCCATGCCAAACTTATTAAGCATTCGTGGAAAGGAATCAAGTGAACCCAGCATAGCTTAATTTGTTAAATGAGTATTTGCCCGGAAAACGGTTCAAATCCCGGTCCAGTCAGTCCAACGGTCCAGTTTTTTTCACGAAGCTTACATATATAAAACATATAATTATAAAATTTTTTATTTTAAATAAAATTAGAAATAAATATATAATATTTAAATAAAATTAAATATATATATTTATAGAAAAATTAAATGCAATAAAATATAAAAATTATATATATGAGCCATTTATTTTGAAAATGGCCTAACTCCATTTATGTTCGAATCGAAATATTTAAGGGTTTGCGTTTCAATGCGTTTATGAATCGTGTCATAGCGAAACCGGGTTAGGAGAAACGGTAATGTTGGAGGATTTGCCGCAATTTGTGAATCGTGTTATAGCGAAATCGTGTTAGGAGAAACCGTGGTGTTGGAGGGATACCTGTATTTCTTTCAGATCCCTTCTAATATTATCCTCCCATCTACGTCTCGGTCTAACTAGTGGTCTTTTCTCGTTCAGTATACCAACCAATATTTTGTACACCGCTCAAACCTCCCCCATGCGCGCCATGTGACCTGCTCATCTTAGTCGGCGTGATTTTACAACGTTAATAATGTCCGATTTGTTGTATAATCAGTGTACTTCTACGTTATAAAATTTGCTCATCACGTTTTGTACCGAAGATTTTACGAATAACTTTATTTTCAAAAATCCTACATTTGTTTTTGTCCCGTAAAGTAACCATGTGATCTCGTTCCGCTACCATAAAGGACTACCGGTAGGATGATCGTCGTGTATATTCTGATTTCTTAGCGCCTAGACAGCAACCGCGAACTGAGTAATTTATTGACCGAATTAAAGCACGCATTGTCTAAATTGATTCTTTTCTTAAGTTCTTCGTTAAATTCTTTCGTTTGGCTTATGATCGATCCTAAATACTTAAAGTTGCTGACTCGTTCAAAAATTTTATCCCGAACGACCATGTTCCAATATTACGCACATTCTGAATTCTATAATCTATTCTTTTTCGAAAATAAATATATATAGTAAAATAATATAATGACAATTAATAAAGTAATTTAATAATATAAAGACAAACGTACAAAATATTACAATGTAGATTATCGAAATTATTTAATTGCCTTATTTTTAATAATTTGATCCAACTTCACAGTCATCCTTCGACTGATAAATTTAAAACAAATGAAAATACAATAGTACACAATTGAGCTATTGCAAAACTTAACAAACACACAAATAATAAACAAATTACGATAACAATAAATATCGTTCAAACATTTTATATACACGATAGAAAACAATAACAAAAACCAAATTGCTTTTATAAACGTTTTAACACCACGAACTATCGGTGAAAATAGAATTTAGTCACTAGTGCTGCCATCTTACGAATAAAAAATAACACAGGTAATAATATATATAATCAATTTAAATAATTTAATATTAAGAACGATTTTAATTAATTAATGATTTTTTTTAAATCAATTTATATTTAAATAGATTTTTTGTATTTTATTTTATATATAATTTAATTTAATTATTTAAATAAAATAAAGTAAATGCTAAACTAACTTACCGACTGGATTGCGTTTCTAATGATACGTCGGTAATGTTATTCGCGATATCAAAATGATAAAGAATTTTTTGCCACTTTTTGATAATAAAATTTTTATAGTATCATAATCATAATTATAATAATAACAAGATGCCTTATTTATCCTTTTGTATTTAGACCACGCTAATAAAAATATTTTTTTACTATTGTGTGATTCGTCCTTAAAGATTCGACAGAAAAGAATCAGCCAATGAGTGCATTTGAAATATAAACTATTATGTGCAAATCTCCATACAACTATGAATAAATTAACCTTGATCTACTTTTCTCGTGGATTTAATCAAGTTAGTGTATTAGTGAATAATTAATATTTTTCAATCATAATACTCAAACTATTCTTAAAAATAAATAAGTATTAAATCGTAAAATATATTCGAAAAATTTGATAAATCGTGTAGATGGCGTTGCAACAAAATTTTCTCTGAAATCTAAAATTATTTTTAAATCAAATTCAATATTTGTAGATTTGCCGTATTAATATTCCTCTCTTTTAGATTAATACGAATAAAAGTTATAATTATCGTAAGGTAAATGACTTAATCGAGATATATCTGTAATGATTTTTAACATACTTTGTTTTGATTAGTTTGTTTTCTTTCTTTTCCAACGATACGAATATTACAACACTTGTTGAAATGTGCGGCACCGTGAACGTAGAACTTCCGGCGGAACAACAGTTCTCAGATGATCACGTGATCGAAGATCGACTTCTTCGTTTGTGGCCACGAGGTTTTGTGGTGAAAATCAAGTTTACCGGGTGGATAAGGCCCTCTATTTTTGTATTTATACAAAAATGTCCTCCAGCAATCCTTTGCCACCCAAAGAAAATGCCTTGTTTAAGCGAATTTTGGTGAGTAACAACCATTAAAAATACTCTGTTTTGGACCCCACTCTCTCCGGCTAATAGGTATACTCATCATGCTCTAATGATGAAGCACTCTTCGAAAACCTCAAAAATACTCAATGGCAACGTTTAACTATACACATTTCCGTAATCTTATCAATTCATTCAAATTCTATCCATTACATCCTCAATGACAGTTTCGTTTTATTATCAAATTTAACCAAATATTATTAACGTTTCGAAAAATTGCTTTTCATTTTCAACCAATGACTTATTATTGCATCTATCTTTCAGAGATGTTACGAACACAAACAATACAAAAATGGGTTAAAGTTTGCAAAGCAAATCTTATCCAATCCAAAGTTCAGCGAACATGGAGAAACTTTGGCGATGAAAGGTCTTACGTTGAACTGCTTAGGTCGCAAAGAAGAAGCATACGATCATGTTAGACGAGGTCTCAGGAACAGTTTGCAATCACATGTATGCTGGCATGTTTATGGATTGTTACAGCGTTCCGACAAGAAATACGATGAGGCTATCAAGTGTTACAGAAACGCTCTTAAATGGGATAAGGACAACATACAGATTCTTAGAGATTTATCGTTACTTCAAATTCAAATGAGGGATTTAGAAGGATATAGAGTGAGTATCGATAAATATATAAAATTCTTATTTTATTATATACAAATTTAAAAATGATTAATCTTATTTGATAATTTAATTATTGTTTGTAGGATACTAGATATCAATTGTTTATGTTGCGTCCAACACAGCGTGCTTCTTGGATTGGTTTCGCTATATCTTACCATTTATTAAAAGACTATGAGATGGCGCTTAAAATTCTAGATACATTTCGCAAATCGCCTATGGTATGTACACCTAAATAAAACGTCAAGGAACAATTTAAATCTTATATAAATTTATTTAATTATACTCTTATATTTGTCACATCATTTAATATTTATAATATTAATATTATATTTTCATATTACGTTTGTTGGATATTTATAACGTAAAATCACGTATTTCATTTTAATTCTTTTCTTTGCAAAAGTATTGACAAATTTGACGTAACATATTAAAAGTTTTAATTAAATGTGCAGATTTGTTATGATTACGAACATAGTGAGTTGCTGTTGTATCAAAATATGGTCATTCAAGAATCCGGTGACAATGAACAAGCTTTAAAACATCTTGACAAATATCGATATCAAATTTGCGATAGAGTAACTTTAAAAGAAACATACGGTAAGTTATTTCTTGTTGATATGCAATATCGCTTATAAAACTAATGTCTTTGTTTTTTGTTTACATATACTAATTTAATATTCTTATGTTTAGGCAAACTTAGACTTCAACTTCAACAGTATACAGAAGCGGTACAAGTTTATAAAGAATTATTAAATATCAATCCTGAAAATTCTACGTATTATGCTAAATTAGCAGAGGCAGAAAGACACGAAACGCCAGAAGATACGTTGGTTATGCTCCAAAGATACGAAGATTTGTTTCCTCGTGCATTAGCGCCAAGGCGTTTACAATTGAATTATGCTTCTGGGGATCAATTTAAATCATTAGCTGATCAATATTTACGACGAGGTAAAATATTATATAAAATATAAAACAATTTTCATATTTCTTTTTCATATTATAAGATTATTTAACAAATGCACATCTATTTTTTCTATGTAATATTTTTATAATGTTAATATGTGTTTTTTTAGGCCTTCACAAAGGTGTACCACCGCTATTTGTTAATCTTCGTTCGTTGTACAATGACAAACAAAAAGTAGAAGTTATTCAATCTCTTGTTCTGGAATACAAGGAAGCATTAAAAGCTCATGGTCATTTTAGTAATCAAGAGAAAGATAATCCACGAGAACCAGCCTCGGCATTACTATGGACTTATTATTATTTAGCTCAACATTATGATTATCTTGGTCTTACAGAAAAAGCGTTGGATGAAATCGATGCTGCCATAGATCACACACCTACATTAATAGAACTTTTTGTTACCAAAGGACGAATATTTAAGGTAAATAAAAGTTAATGTTACTGTGTTATTTAAGGAAATACATAATAGAAAAAATTATATAATAAAATGTGTTTATACCATGAGAAATATTTTGTGTGTCTAGCATGCCGGAAATGTTCAAGAAGCATACAAGTGGTTAGATGAAGCTCAAGGATTAGATACTGCCGATCGATATATTAATTCTAAATGTGCCAAATATATGCTACGTGCGAATTTAATTAAAGAAGCGGAAGAAACGTGTGGGAAGTTTACTAGGGAAGGAGTATTAGCGATGGAAAATCTAAACGAAATGCAATGCATGTGGATTCAAATGGAAGCAGCGCACGCATATCAACGTCTTGGAAAATATGGAGAAGCTTTAAAAAAATGTCATGAAATTGATAGGGTGAGTTATGCACAAGACTATTATAATATTAGAATGGATTGGTTAATGGTTCAAATAGCAAATATCATCTTTGAATGGCTTATATTTGTTAACCGATCACCTACTGTATTCAATCTTATATGGTTCAGTACAATTTGTGCGCTAATCGTTTCTTATTGTTTACAGCACTTTTCAGAAATTATAGAAGATCAATTCGACTTTCACACATATTGTATGCGAAAAATGACATTAAGATCTTACGTCGGCCTTCTGAGGTTAGAAGATGTTCTTCGTGCTCATCCATTTTACTTCAAGGCTGCAAAATGCGCGATGGAGGTTTATCTACGTCTACATGACTACCCTCTACCAGATCCAACACAGACGCAAGAAATCGACACGGGTAAGTGTTTTACAATATTTATTATCCATCATTAATTATAAGTGAACAAATTTCATTTCACATTACATGGCTGTTCGCAATCTAGGATCATTTCTATTTTAAGCTTCTGTAAAATTCAGTATACACATAACATTTGAATAGATATATTCTTTCTATGGGAATATACGTACACATATTTGTAGAATATTACAACTATACAAACATTTTTATTATCTTACGTTTGTTCAAACACATAAATTTGTATTCATTAGAATAATTCAAAAGATTTCTAAATATTTCTTACACATATATAGATATAATAAATTATTTATTAGTTAGACATTTTTGAAGAAGTAAAATTAGTATACTATATACAGTCTATTAAAAGGGAGCTCAGAATAAAAATCATCAAAACTACCGTGGGAAGTTTTTATCTTAATAATTAATATTCGTAATCATAAACGTTACAATAAAAATAAATACAATAACGACATAGTACGTATATATATATTTATAAAAAAAGAAAAAGAAAAACCAACAATTATTGAATAGCTCGTATAATAGTAATAATTATGATATCAAGGAAAAACTAATCTGTCCCGTTAATTAAATATCGTAACGTACACATATAACGATCTAAATACATATTATAAGTATACATTGCAATCACAGACAATGCGCAAGTACATTTTGGCCAAATTTATTAGCATTCAATGTACTCAGAGTTTCGCACGGGTAATAGATTTTCGTTAATCCGTGTCAAATATTAATGGAAGTAAGGAAAAAGTGTTTAACTAAATTCTAAATTGCATAACTTAATATTTTAATATGCCTAACAAACTAATCTTAACATTTAAATACATGCTGATATTTACAAATACATCAAATAAATATTCCGAAAGTTTCGATCTTACAATTATGACACACATATCTTCTCGGCACTATAATAACATTCTAATACATATGGCATCGGGGACAACTGCCTGTAGGGAATTTTTAACTAAAACGATAAGTGGAAACTCTCTTTTTATGATTTGCCAGGATTTCTTCTACGTCGTAAAAATTTCGGACCTCTCGGTTTTGGATAATAATAACCACCACCACCACCATCATCATCATCATCAGCACCAATATCTTCTCTAGTTTGTTCTTGTCTAATTGCTTGAGGTGTAAGAAAATAAAAATGACCACCGTCACCTGGAAATCTATAAGCAAAATACGCACTACTTTTGTCGGAATTAATGGTACCTTGATTGGAAATAGAAATAGGATTAATAAATTCAGCGTCAGGATTAATCGGTGGACGTGGATTACGATAATTAACTAGTATATCACTGTGAAGGGGAATTAATGGTTGTTGTAGTCGTTGTTGCTGTTGCTGTTGCTGTTGCTGTTGCTGTTGCTGTTGTTGTTGTAATCGTTGTGACTGTTGTTGTCGAGGTTGACCACGTTGTTTAGGATCAAACACCTCGACCAATTCGCTGTCTGGATTAATAGGTGGTAATGGTCGACGATAATTAACTTGAGTATCGCTTGCTAAATTCGGTGGTGGTGGTTGTACTTCTTGATCGTAATATACAGGATCTGTATAAATAGGTTCCGGTGGTGGTGGTACATTATAATTATTTGATACGTAAGTATTAACCTCGTAATCAGGTTTCTCGGTAACCTGATTGGCCTTATTGTAAATTGGTGTAGTACTCGGTATATCCTTTCCACCAATTTTCTTACCAAATATCGTAAAATATTCTTTCGTGACATCGTCCAAAAGTCTTTCCTCTTGTCGCGTGAAATATGCGTGTTGAGGATTAGGTGTAACGTTTATTATTGGCCTACCAGTTGTGGAAGGATAAATGGGACTTTGAATTTTGTAGGGTACATTGTTCGTACGTTCGGTGTTCCTTTGATCGGTGTCATAATCGTATCGATAATCGTTTGATTTGACAGTCTGATAATCATACGTTACTTGTTCGTTTTGTTGGGTGTAATAAGGTCTTTGGTTTTGACCTCTTTTAGAATAATCAGCTATTTCGAAACTGTATTGATAAATTGGTTTAGATTTGATTTTTTGTCTCTTATCAATTTCTATTCGTTCTTCCGATTCTTTATAATATATTGGAGACGATGGGGTAGTGTAATAGGATCGTTGTAACGTTACAGGGGGTTGAGTTGCTGTTATCGTTTGATAATAAATTTGACCTCGATCTGCCAACATTTGTTCATTTTGTCCTCTGTTCAACGTTGAATCATATTTCGTTGATGTCGATGAATCTTCAGAACCTCGGTATTGATAGACTTGAGGATTATCAACTGAAGTATCTATCAGTTTAACGTTGTAATCTCTGGAAGTGTCCTTCGGTGAATTGGTTTCAATGCTATAATATGGTTTCTCTTCTCTCGGTTGTTGAGAAAGTGATTCGATTTTGTAATATGGAGATTCCGTAGTAGTTTGATGATAAACTGGAGCAGATTCTACGGTACTAGCGACATTACCATCGTCAGATTCTTCGTAGAAATAATAAGATGCTCTGTTAGGTAATTGTTGTCCCGGTTGAACGGTCGTTATAACGTTCTTGATAGAAGCCGGTGTCACTTCCACGGATTTTTCGATGGAAGAAGGGGTTGTTGTAGCATAATAAGTCACTACTGGAATAGATTTACCATTTGTAGATCTGGACCACGTCTGAATATTATTTTCCGTATTAGTTTCGGTCATTTTATTTTCTATCAATGGACGACTATTTGTATAATATTTAGTATTTCTCTGAACAGACGATGGTTTATTCGTCGTAACTTGTACGTAAGATGGTGATACGTTATTAGGACGAATTCTTGTTACAGGTTTTCCAGTTACATTTTTTAACATCGTTGTAACATAAGTTCTCGTACGTGACAATTGGGTTGTACTTATTTTTGGCACGGTAGTTGTTGTTGTTGTTGTTGTACTTTCCCATTGTATTCTCGTAGTAAGTTTTCTCGGTGGAAGATAAGTGGGTCTTGATTTAGGTAGCATTGATGTATTAGGACGTTTACTATACTTCTTTGTAGTCGTTGTTGTTATTTTCTTTTCTTCCAGCGGCGAAAAGAAATCTGGCGGTGGTGGTAAAATGATACCAGGTACTAAAGGACCAGGTGGTACTGCCGTTGTATTATCCTGCGGATAATAGAAACTGTAAGGTGGTGGATAATAGATGGATTGATCCTCGTCGTCGTAATCGGTTCGATTACTAGGTGGTGGTACGAAAACAGCACCAGGTGGTATAGCGTGATAAAAAACAGGTGGTTCTTCAGATTTGTCATTTGGTACATTGTTAGGTCCTTGAACATCCTCATCGTTCGTAGAATTATCCGAATAATTAAAATCTGGTACTACGATAGTACCGTTCGAAGTTACCGTAAAGAACGGACCATCACCAGGTAAAATACCTTTTCCATAAAAAGGATCCATGGTACGATCCAAGGTAGCATTTTCAATTTCCTTGCTACTACCATTAATTCCAATAATTTGTATCGGTCCTCCGTCCTTCAGTTGTACCGGAAACGGTGGTGGTACTTTAGGTTTGTCTGGTATTTTAACTTGTCTTCTCGGTGCTTGATAATTATCAATAGGTTTCCATTTTTGTTTATCCTTATCATCGGAATGATTGATAATCGGTCGATTGGTCTGACCACGGTCCACAAAATTACCACCCTTTAATACAAGCACGTGATTTTCCGCAAACCATATTTCGTCCTCGTCAAGACCACCGAGATTCTCAATGGTGTCCTTAGGTACTTCGGGATTATCTAGATAACTTATTATACCAGGTCGTCTAGGTTTATCATCGTAAATTTCATTTTGTATCAAACCGTACTTGCCCTCCTTGACTTGCTGAGACAATGTTTTTTTTTCATCGTCTTCATCACCACGCGAATTTTTCGTTTCCTTACCGTTACCAGCCGACGATCCTAACATATCATCATCCGTCAATAATTTATCATCTTTTCTTTTTTTCACCCTGTCATCGCGCAAATGACCTCCCATCAATCTATGAGATACTTTCCTTCCGCTTTCCAAGTTTATTTCGTTGTTTTTACTACTCGGTGACTTGTTATTGTTGTTGCTGATATTATAATTGTTGTTAAACAGTGTATTATTAGACAATTGTTTTTGATCGGACGAAACATCAACGACACCTCCCAGGTGTCTTCTTTCTCTATGACCAAAAACGTCCTTCTTTGCTTCTTCTTTTTTTTCATCATTTGCCTTAATCGATTGAACGATAGTCAGGCATGCAGTTAATGCTACGATCAGCACTAATCGTCTCGAGAAATTTGCCTGCCGAGTCATCTGAAATAAAAAAAGGAAAACAACAAAAATTAAAATCATCACACATATGTTTCTTCATATGATTTATCTTCTATTTCTATCTTATTCTTAAACTTATTTTAATTGCAATATTTCTAACTTTCTACGTTTTCTTCCTTCATAACCAATTATTTATATTTCTTTTATGTATATATAATATTAATATATAAAAAATTTTAAAAAGGTATCGATTACATTGTCTATGGAAAACATTTGACTCGTCTTTTATTATTTTTATGGTGAAAAAATAAATAAATAAATCGATAACATTGGGTTATAGAAATGGTATTGGAATATCGTGTAACATTAACACGTATTCTCACGATGATAAATCTTTACGTAATTACAATTATACACGTGTATATATATATATAAATTTGCATTTAATTTCACCAAGTTTTCGTTCTTGACAAGACGTTTCCGGATTGTTAAGATCTTGAATAAGAATGGTTCGTTAATTAAAGTAACACAACTAATTCTTAAAAGATATTTAAAATCCTCAACGATCTAGAACTAACGTCACGGTTCGATGCGAAAGACGCGAAAGTCTTGGTTCGGTTTTCGAAGGTACCAACTAAACTATTACAATTCTTTCAAATTTGAACGAATTAACCCTTTGACTCATATATGCGTTTGATAAAAGTTATCAGCACGTGTTTGTCAATGTGCATGTAAAATAATATAATACTAATTTGCTTATTGATTATTATTGCTTTTGAATATCGTGTCACATGAAAATTATATAATAAAGAAAAAAAAAGAATTTTAATTATTAAATATATCATTTATTATTAAATCTGATTAATAATAATAATATGAATCAACGAAAAAAAAAAACATTAGTCGTACATTAATAATAAATTATTTCACGTTTTTACAAAATATTTCGGTTAAAATTATATTCGATATTATTAAAAGGGTTAAATTTAGAATTTTTATTTTAGTTAGATCAATTTACTATTGAATTTACAATCGTAAGAATATAAAATAGATATAACAGAAAATATCTCGTGAGCCTTTTGCCCGCCACGCCCCTTTTCTGCTTGCAAACAGCAATCGGTGAACGTTCTTTCCGTCCCTTTCCGTTCTTTCGTTTAGTTTCGTTTGGTTTCTTTAGTCGACAAATGTTCACGGGTCAACAACAACAAGAGCGGATACTTCGTATAGTCAAACAACTTTTGAACGTAATCAACTCTTCGTAGAGTGAATAACGAACCTAATCGACGACGAGTATTGCACGATTCCACGTTTTCTCTGGTTGCTGCATTATCGTATAAACTGCAGCATCCATTATAATAGATAAACGAGTCACGATATATTCTATAAAGTTTAGGGTTTATATATGCATATATAAAACATATTTATATATATGGGGAGATATAAACACCATTATGTTGAAGGCAAACGTACGCGTATCGCATTCCGTTTATCTTTTAACATATATTTTTTCTTTTTTTTTTTTATCCTTAACATTATCTTTCAGAAATTTTTATTTAACGCGGAATTGATTTCATTCAAATGATTGAATTATTTTTTTTTTTTTTTTGAATATTTTTTTTTTTCTTTTTTTGGAATAATATCCTTTAAGATATATTTTTAATGATAACAAAAATTATGAAAATTACCATTTGTATTATTATCATAATATAATAGATAAATCAGTTGCGATATATTCTAGGAATTATTTGCCATAATCCAACGGAAGAAAACATATATCACGTTCTATAATTATTTCTTTTCTTTTTTTCTTTTAATACATACACGCGCACACACTTTCTCTCTTTCCTTTCACGCACGTGAATTTTAATCTAGCGTGATATTAACGAATCGATTAATTTCTTCTTTTAAATAATTTTCGAAAATGCATTTTAATTATAATAAAAATGATGCTAATTGTAATCATTTGTATTATTATCATAGTATGCGATATATTTCAGAAATTATTTTGATTGACCCACTGGAAGTAATTAATGCTTATCACATTATTCATATATTTTTTTGTTAACATTAACACATACACGAACACACAATACATACACAAACACGTTCTTTTTCTGTTCAACATAAATTTTTTATCTAACACGGAACTAACGAATCAAATTACTTCTTTTCTCGAATGTATCTTCAATAGAATATTCTCTTTTTAAACGATTTAATCCTAATGAAGAAAATTCATAACAATTAACTTTCTTTTTTCTCGTATTAATCGGGGCAGGGGGAAGCTTAAAAAAAAAGAAACAACAATAAAAACAACAACGATCCTTAAATCAAGATTTGTTGTTGCATGCTTTTGTAAATCCTGGTGATTTAAATGTCACCCAATGTAATGCACTTCCTTCACAGATACGGAAGTTTTAAGCATTAGGAACAAGAAAAAAAGAGAAAAATAGATGAAATATATATATAGCGATTTCCCTGTATGGACAACTTTTTATCTTTGTCTATCACGTAACTAATTTCAAAACGCGTATTCTCACAATATAATTTTAAATCTCTCAAATGTAAAGGATTTAAACAAAAAATTTGATTTCTCAAAACAAGTGCACCATTTCTTTCTTTTTATAAAATTTTGTAAAAACGTTAATTTAGGATTACTTATTAATCACTGTAGGATAATCGAAATATCGTTGATTTCATCTCGTTAATTGATTTAATTTATTTAATTTTGGTTTGTTAAAAATAAAAGATTCTTTTTATTTCTTTTTATAAAATTTTGTAAAAAAAAGTTCGTTTAGGATAACTCATGATTCACTATAGGATTATCGAATTATTGTTAATTCTATCTAATTAATTTATTTAATTTCGATTCGTTTAAATAATTGCTCTTCTACCGTTCAAAAAAAAAAAAAGATATTTCCTTTCTTTTTATAAAATGTTATAAATACGTTTGCTTACGATCACTTATGAATCACTTTATGGTTCTCGTATATATTAACCATTGATTTTAAAGACAACTTTTTATAAATCATACGAGAATACTTGTTATTCGATTCCGTTTGGTTGATCGTCTCCCTTCGACTTCGACTTCGACTTCGACTTGGATTCTCGAAATATTCGAGATCTGCCGAGGGAAAGAGACGACTTACGTGGTGCGAGCGTTCGCACCGACATGGTACACGTGACTGGCACCATTTTCATCGCCTTTCTCAGAGTCCATGCACCGGCAGTTCGCCAAGGACGTACGGAAAGGCGGAGTAACTTGACCATTTAACAAGAAACCACCCATTGCATCGACAAATAAACTTCTCTTATCTTCCTCTGTGTGTGTATGCATATATTTGTATGTTTGTATGCATATGTATCTATTCATGAATGTATCTATACATACATTCATGTATATACGAATGAACGTATGAGTATGTGTGCATGCATTTCTTCTGTATACATAATTGTATATACGTGAATGCATCTATGGTGTCTATGTGTACCAGTTTGAAAGGAGGAAGTTCTTCGTCGCGAGTCTACGTACTCTCGATTTGCGATGGTTCTCATCGATTATCCCCCCTTCTTCCCCCTTGACATCCCTCTCTCCATCTATCTTTCCTTAACATCCGGATTTTGATCTCCTCAACAGATTCTTAACACTACCTTACTGATCGTTTAGGAAGTATATATCTATTCGTACCGTCTTTAACAAAAGTTTGATTTATTTTCTTTTTTTTTTTTTTCTTTTTTTTTCTTTTTTTGAAATTTTTATACAGATAACAGTCAATTTGATAATAGGGGAAAGAGGAGGGGGTTAGTAGACAATAAAATAACAATATTTGTAAAAGAATATTCGTATAATTGTTTTAATAGATAAGCTTTAATTTTGCCACACCATAAGTAATATATTTAATTTAATATTTTGTGATAGTGAAATTTTGCGATTTCTATTTTTTTTTCTTTCTTTCTCTTTTTTTTTAGCAATATTAAACCACCGAGATCTCTCTTAATTTACTTAGGCTTCGATCGAATTAGTCGGAAACGGGTCTTGCACGGAAATGATGTAATAATATCTTGCGATGATTCAAGGATATTTCAAGATCCTACGATAAAATCAAATACGATTTTTTTTATATATATACCAATCAAAAGTTTCTAATGGATATATGAAAAATTTTGTAACTATTCAAATTTATGTTTCCGATAAAATATTTTGTTATTATCAATGTTGAAAATCGAATTCATACAAGTTTTCTTCAACCACAATAACAATATAATATATATATTTTATTTAAAATATATATATAATATAATAATATATAAAAATATAAAAATATATATTTGTAAGTATACTTTTATATTTTATTAAGAAAAAAAAAGAAATACTTATTAAAACAACTTATAATAATATTAGAGAAGGTAAAAATGAGATAAAAATGCATGGGAATTCGTATTGATGCATAATTCGTTGATATTTCTATCTCTCTCTCTCTCGAATAATACTGATAATTGTAGAATTATATTATTTTCGTCAATTTTTTTCCTTTTTTTTTTCTTTTTTTTTATAGACTATTCTTTCTTTAATTTCTTTCATTTTCTCATCGAAATAACGTGGAAACGGTACGTCGTGCGTAACGTTATTATGGGGGTTACTCCACTTGCCCGTATCCGTTATTTACAAGGACGATGTAAGAGTTCCGGATTCACCGTTATTCAATTGATTTTTTTTTTTTTTTACACCTTCGACTAAACTAATACTACTATTACTATTACTACTACTATTACTATTACTATTACTATTACTATTACTATTACTATTACTATACTTTCCTTTTTGTTTCGCATCGTGATATTATTTCCCTTTCGATAGCTCGAACTTTTTAACAACCTTTCAATTTCTTCCAAACGATTTATATTATTCCGATAGCATTTTATTATCTCTCCGATGAATAATAATTTTAATTTCTATACTTTAAGTTAATACACATTATTTTATTCGCGTAATTGTTCCCTTTCTTTCTAGTTGTTTTTCTTTTTTTTTTAATTTTAAATTTAATTTTAAACCTTAACTTAAATTTAAATCTAACCTTATTTTTTCATCTGACAGCAGGAAATATTTTTATGTTTAATTATGTCATCTCAAAAGTATGTATATACCGATAATAATATATATAGTAATCTAACGATAAAAAATGTCGAAGAAAATATTTATACCAATTTATTTGATTAATATTAATTAAAAAGTAATGTATATAAAATAAATATATATTTGCTTTCGATATATTTTATTAACGATAACAAATGTATTATTAAATCAATTATTATAGAACATTGCAATGAAAAAAAAATTAATAATAATAATAATATATCTCACGTTGTATCAATGACATTAGTATGATCGAAACGTGTGATTAGAAACAAATGATAGATTTAATTCAAATTTTAAATACTTAAATAATAAATGAAAATAATTAACGCTACACACCCGTTGAACGTGTTAATTGGCAAATCATTACAAGGTAATCGATATTTTTTTTTATATAAATAATACTCAAATCATACTAATCATAGTGTATCTAAAAGCATGATATTATAAATACGTAAATAAAATAGAAGAAAGTGGATACGAGAATGGAAAGTTAATCATTATGGTAAATGATCCATCTATTACAGACTATGGTGACCACCATACAATAGGTGAACTCCTCCTTCTCGGTGATTTATATTAGTCTGACATCTGATAGCTATGTTTTATCCGATATCATGTATTAATGAATTGTTTCGATAAGGTTAGACATGAGTCTGATCGTAGATCATTTTACAAGTTGTTTGATTAGATCGATTTTGTTTTCTTTTTCTTTTTTAGGCGTGCCTAAGTGGTTTATTTTCTTTCTCACTGAGGTCAGTCTCATTACATTTTTTTCAGGTTTTTTTTTTTATGTAATTTTAATCAATCTCAAACTTAGAATTAATTATAGAAAAATAATCTTATAATGTATACACGAGATATTTCGAATATTTATTGTTATACTTCGATCTTGAACACTATAGTAAATTATTATTATTATTATTACGTGTTCCAATTAATTTTATACTGAATAGTTGGTTAAATAATATTTGGATAATTTTAAAATACAGAATTTCTGATAGGTTTTTTTTTTAAATTATATTGGTATTACACACTACTATTATTTAGTAAATAATAATATTTTTATATTGTTGCATTTTTATTAAATGTTTTAATTATTGTTTCACAAAATAATTGTATGTGTAATATTATATAAAAATAAAAATATCCAAAGATTCATTTTATTTGATATCCGGGTTAGTTGGACAGATTTGTGTTTTTAGCACTTGCATCTCAAACAAAAAGTGATCTCATTGAATTTCGTTGAACTATGAGTTAATAATCATTTTTAGAATAGTATTTTGTTCTCTCTCTTCTACTCTCTTTCTTTTTGTTACATATTGCATAAAACTTAATCTATTATTAACGATACACTTTCGCCAATTTATCAACGAATTAAATGATACTCAACGATTATTTTTCATTCACTGATCACAGAAAAAAAATGTCTAAACTAAATCCTTAATAATCCTTTGTTGCATATTCTTTTTATAAAACATTCGCAATGCAATCGTTCGTTCTTATGAATAGAAATAAATACTTATAAAAATAAAAAGTATCTACACGATTTCGAAATTTCGTCTGTCGTAAGTTCGTATTTCGATTCTTGGTCTTGAAAAATCGGTTTTATCACACGGTTGATGAGATACGAAAATTCGAACAAAAGAACCTCAAAGGTCATTCTTATTTTTTTTTTTATACATTTTTTTTCTTTGACCATCCAAGCCATTGCCAAATACATTCCATCTTTCTCTGTTTATTTCTTTTTTGGTATGAAGTAACGTGGCCTTAAAAATATTATTTACAACGAAAATTTATTGATGGTACATGAAAAGTTAAAGTAAAGAAGAGCCATAATACCATTCATTCTTATTTTTTATATATATTTTGTATATCATTCTTTTTTTATTATTATTTTTTTATTGCAAAATCATATTCCCTCCCTATCTTTCTATTTAACTATCTATCTTTATCTCTTTTTTTTTATATACGAAATAGTGATAATCTTAAAATGTTCGTAACTGTTTGTTAGTTGTCCTTAATTTTATTTTTTTTTTTGACCGAGGTGAGAAAAAAATTTGTTCCCAATGAAAAATCCTTCGTGGTTGTTCATCGTGTCGAGTAGAATAAACACAGAGGTTGAATACCTTGGCATTGACCGGCTTGCTTGCTTGCTTGCTTGCTTGCTTACTTGCTTGCTGTTGCTGCTTCTTGTCGAGGCAACTTATGCGAGTTAAGCTCTTGCATAATTCTTCTTCTTCTTCTTCTTCTCTTCTTTTTATTCTTTTTGCTCGTCTTCTCTTTTTCATCTCGATGATTCTCTCAAATTACCGCATTTACCGGTTCTTTCGTCCTTCCTCTTCCACTCACCCCTTTCCCATCTGTTCATCATGTCCATCTTGCTATTACTTCGTTCTTTTTTCTCGATCGTTCCTCTTTCGAATTTGTTTTCTTTTTTTTTTCTAAACTTATATCTTCTTGCTAATTGCGCGAAAATTTAGTTAAGTATATTTACTTTTAACACTTTTAACCATAAGCGTTAAGTAGTCTGCGACATATTTTTTATCTCGTTTATTATACGATGACATAAATTTAATTTTTTTTTATTATTTATTTATGTAATTTAATTGTGTTTCTTTTTTTTCGTTTCTTGCTATTTTAATAAATCTCTACAAAAATGATATTTTTTAAAGGATTCTTTTTAAAACATGAATGTTTGTTAAAGCGTACAAAATTAATATCACGATTTTTTTCCCATTATTGGATAAATATTTTTATCTCGTTCGTTACCATGACACGAATTTATTTTTATTTAATTATTCATATAATTCAATTATGTCCCTTTTTTCTTATTATTTTCAAAAATTCGATAAAAATTATGTTTTTTACGACATCATGAACGTTTTTTAACGCGTGTAAAATTAATATTACGGTTGTCATCGTCCTCTCCCTTCATCCCCTCCCACGCGTCATTGAACATATTTATCGAAAGGCAAAAGCGAGATGAAATTGATCAGCAGTCAATACCGGTTTATAAACGTTTAATTTTTTTTTCTTTTGTATTTTATTTTTTGCAGATTTAACGGACCAAACGTAAAAAGCAACAAAAATAAAGAAACGTATGCACAAGGTTAATGGTCCAATTTGATGCACAAAAAACAAATCGTTCGTAATTTCGTTGCTTTTTATTTATTTATTTTTTTATTTTATTTTATTTTTTATTTTATTACACGAAAATTTATTATCGAAAATGATTTATTTCGAATATAACAAGTTCCGTTCTTTCAAATAAATTTCCAATCAAAATCTCTAACTTGTTTATGAACGATCCATTTTAGAATGCACATATATATATATATGTACGTATATTTTAAAAATTATCGTTGGAAAGTATTTGATGAAAACTAGTTTGTTAAACAAGATATTATTATCGGGGAAAATATGATCGACTATCTGTGAAATAAATCGCAAACCTTCTTGATTAGAAACTTTTTAATAAAACAAATCAACTTCTCGAACGAGTTTTAAAATTTCATCTTTAAACGCGTGAAAAAAAAACAAATAATAATTTTCCTCGTTCGTTTATCGTACATTTA